TGATATCCAGGAAGGCATCTCTCAGTACAGTTTGAAACAAATGGTTCACGTAGCCTTTTAATCTGGAATGGAAGTCATGCAGGTATAACAACAAGTCTCTCAACCCGTGAAAAAGAAAAGCACCTAGTAAATTTGAGCTCGCCTTTTAATCTACAATAAGAGTTACGAAAATCGTAAAATTCACCCATCTAGAACTTGCTGTACTATCAGATACCTACAAATATGTTATCTTTGGTCACCTTGTTTGACCTTGTATGACCGAAAGATCAAATATCTTGGAGTTTGAAGTGATTTGGTCACGCAAGACTTGGTTTCATGATGATCTCAGCCAAGATGATGTGAGCATTTCAAACTTTGTCCAAAATCTCTGATGCGCCATCGAACAATTCATATCTAGCACCATCAACTGAGCTGAACACTGTGAATGCAACACTGACCTCAAGCAAAGGGCGCAAAAACATTGCAATTGCAAGTGAAGCAATTGAGAAGCTGTGCAGGAACGAAAGTAAATCATACTTACTTTATTGCCGCTTAAAATGACAATAGCATGAGAACCTGGGGAAATCAGGACCCCTTGGTTTCTGTTGACACCCTTTCCTCTCTCTCCGATAATAATCCGAAGACCAAACGACCATTCTCCGAATGTATATTCTCCCAGTTGGGAATTGAGTAAAATACTGAGCCCATTATCTCCCCCCGCCAGGCGGACAGTTGTCGATTTTCCTCCTGTGCGATTTATGAATCTTTGGATGTTGAAGGTGTGGCATAATCCATTTTTTGTCATAACAGGATCAAAATCATCCTTATTGCAAGTTAATGCATCGTCGTCGTTATCTTGACCAAAAGTACAATAATCCATAAACATCGTCCCAAAGTCAGGTCCGTAACGGAAGAGGAAATCTTCGGGGTCGAAGACACGGGATGATGCGTTCAGTACTTGACGTAATATCGGCTGCATGCTCACGTGACATTGAGGTACAAGAAATGGCGCGTATCTGCTATATGCACATAATAGCGCCTGCCCACACGTAAGATTACCACTTACATTTCTCACGACTTCGCAGGCTGGCATATTAAGATTGAGCTGCTCAAATCGCGGATCGTCGTATGYGATGTYGATTTTGGACCTGACGAGGGAGTTCAGATTGCATATTGTAAAGTCAGGAAACTCGATTCCTTCARRTGGAACTTCGTTAGATAACAAAGTATTGATTGGGCGACTTGCGAATTTTGATACGCTTTCGTAAACAATGTACATATAGCCCGAAATACACGCAAGCAAGCAAACGGCCCAGAACACCCGACGTAAATAACCCGAAGTTCCTACGACGTAACGAAGGCCATGRAGKGTTGTATTGGATGCGAAGKTTGTCCAGTTCTCTCTCATAGYKAAGATCTTGTTGAGCAACTGTWATCAAATCAAYGTTGATGATGTATATTTAGSCAACTTTTAAGTTTTTATAACGAGCCTTTCAAGATCCTATACCCTTCCACTTTAAGTGTACAGGCCAAATTCAACAAAGCTTTGAATATTTTTCTTGTATTGACCTTCAATGGTTTTACTCCATTTTCCTATGACTCCATCAATCCATGAAGAAAGATGATGTCTTTCTTGAACTAAATGATTCCCTTTTCGAGGTGAYAACTGAATTACTGCACACCCAAGTTACAGCAGAGAAACCTTGCAATCTGTCGTATTCGACTGGTTGTAATCATCAAATATCCACCTGCGCCTATTGAAGCTTTCAAATCCAATTCTTTCATCGGTTGCCAAGAGAACATGTATAAAAGCCGCGCATCAACTTGCTATTTCATAAAATGACATAAAAAGTTTTCGACATGGGATATAGCTGCAGTTCTGCATGAGGTCTATTACTATATAAGCTTTGAATAGGATATTTTTTACTCTGAATTATCATAACGATGATTTACGATACTCATTGCTTATTGCACAAAATGAAATTACCCAAAAACTCATTATATTATTTTACTATCGGCAATGATATTACTAGTACAAGAACGTAATTAATGTGTTTCTATATTTATAATTAAAATTGTGAAAAATTATTTTGTTCCTACCAGCAGGGGTTTACTTATTTATGTYATAACTTATTAATAATGCACTTCAACATTAATCAATTCAGTTTTGACATGAGTCTGCACATTGTCCTTGAATAAAGGGTTTGTAAATATGTATTTTTTTAGAAAGAATCCACTTCTGCACTAATGTAAAACTAGTACAAGGAGGTAGAAGTCAGTCACTCTCAAAGCTGATTACTTAAGACTAGTAAGAATTCCTATTTTAAACGACTTCCTGAGGTGAGCTGGCTCTCGTTACCAGACACGATCAAAACAAACAATTTCTTATTTAGAAACCTTTTTCATTAAGTCATGTCCTCAGGATATTATTCTCAATTTTTTTTTAAGAAAACGATTCTCCTGCCAAGAAATTTTAAGGCTTSTTTCAGCTGTCCTTCATGATTATGCATAGTGTTTCTTGGGACACCATTTAAAGAATATTTTACGTATTTTAAGTATTTTTCTTTAGTGCGTGTTAGCGATTTTGTTTGGTACTTCATTAAAGGGCACCGTCGGAGGCAACGTAGATGTCCCTGAGGGCTCACTGCCGTAAACCACGGCAATCGTGCTCGGTACATCCAGGCTTTGCCATGCAAGATGTTGCTCCACAGTTTAAACCGCTTTAGAGCTTAGCGAAGAAACCAGGGGCTTAGACAATGTGACTCAGCATAATCATGGTGTTTCTTTTTGGTTTCTCTAACTGGCTACACGATTTTCGTACGCAAATACGTTTCGAGTTTACAACCGAAAGCCGAACCCTCTACGGATCAAAAGTGCCACAGGTACCAGAGTTGCCCGGACGACCCTTGAYCTTAGTGTGATAAATCTTTCTGGCCTCCACTTACTGAAAATGGTTGCATCGTGACTTCTTCGTTGTGAATTTTGTTTGAATTTTGTTCTTTCCTATCATCTAAGGGGCTGAGCTTTTTGTGAACTCGTTCAGTCATTGGTTCGTTATTTGTAGAAAGCTTCAAAACTCAAATCCCAACGATTTCTTTTCGGGTCCGAAGTCCCGATGCAACGGTTTCTGCTTTTAGTTAATTGTTAACAATTAGATTGGGAGGTCGAGCGAGYTGACTACGAGTTGATAGTCCATGAGGCCGCACGGCGTAGATAATAAATTTGTTAGTTCGAATGTATATCAGGTTATTTGTATTTGTTTTTAACGATGCAGCTGTCTAGTCAGTTATGGGAGTCAAACATGGGTAACAGGCTCTATTGAAGATGAAGAGAATYCATTACTCCCTCTTCCAAGGTTTTTACGATATAATAAGAGTTCCCCTGGGAATGCGCTTGGGCCCTCTATACAGTACATGTTGTGAAAACTGAAAAGTCCTTGTAGTAATTTCGCAGTTGGTAAACAAAAAATGAAATCCCCTTCATGCTTAGCGTTGGAATTGTACAATCTAAAGTTCCATTGTTCTCCTCTGTCCCTGATCCTGSGATTCCTGTTGCAGACCCTGTGGAGACGAAAACTGTACTTTGTTCTTGTTGGCGTCAATTTTATMAAGGATGTACATGAAGACGTAATCGAAAAACTCTACCAGTGTAAGAACACTACAACCAAGAAGCAAGCCCATGTTGCCACCRAGGTCACCTTTATCAAAGGAGATGAAAAATAACATTTTTAAGGTGTGGCCAAACGTTACAATAAGCGGGACCTAATTAAGGAAACACTTGGCTATCTTATATGTAATTGATCGAATTTGTACTTACCAAGGAGATTGTTGATTCCATAGCCTGGCTGAAGCTGGACGACCTCGTACTCWACCGAGGCAAACCCAACTTGTAAGAAGATAAAGTTCTCCCTTTGACATTCGATAAAAATTTCAAGTAAKTAGTGAACCTTACACGTGGTGAACCTATTACTAGATTCCATTTTTCTGCGATGCCCAGTTATTTATAGACTGCACAACTTTAAAAATTTGTATGTTAAACTGAGGAACTTTATCTTAAGTCTTAGTTGTTTTACAGAACATGTAATAACCAATTTTCGAATTTCGCCTAACTAATCAAACACAAAAGAATCAAGACGAGGCGCCGTGAATAACGTTCAGTCATTCCTGAAAAACTATTGTCTTTATGCACGGCGTCTCGTCTTGATCCCTTTGTGTTTGACTACTGAGGCGAAATTCGCAATGTGGCTATTGTGGTACAGGTTTTACCATGGACACCAATATTGGACTACGCCTYAATATATTCTCGTTTTGATCCCGGATCCCACGGGATCCCACAAAATCAAGAATATATTCCACGAATGAATTGTACAGTGTGCAAGTTTATACTTCTTATATTACAATAAGCGACATTTTGTAATCAACAATAATGTGGAATCTATGATTATGATCCAAGACATGCCCGGGATCATTTGGGCTGCATGGGGAGTTTGGGGAACACTTACTTTATGTATTGGTCAGAAGTRTCATTTTTCACATATCCCCTTATCATATCCATGATCATTGTGTTAGGAAATCGAGCGAACGATGTCCAAGGGATGTAGTAGGTTTCTTCGCACGGAGAGTTACAGTGGCATTCTCGGAAGCTCATGGCATCTGTAATTGAGAAAAAATGTTTTTTTTTTCTTGGCAACGTCAAGCAATGATGTGATCAGTGCTAGTATGTTCGGATTAAAGTAATTATTACTGACCACTGAACTGATTCATTGTATGATTATGGCGATGAGCAGCATGGCAGGCATTTCGTTGTTAAAAGATCAAGATGTTTTAATCTTAAAAGATTTATATTTAATTCAAATATTTTGTCATTCAAGAATCTTATTTTTTTCACTTAATTTGTTTTGTTAAGAATTATTTTTTGAAAATTGACCTTTGACATAAGATAGTGTTAATCTTTTGGTGAATTCTTTTATTTGATAATTTTCAAGTATGGCCAAGGAATGAACTTATAAAAAATGATTATGAGTACCTATGACTTCWGAAAGGCAGTTTCCGTCTCCTATGCTACAAACGGGAACTCCTGGATGCCCTGCAATAGAATCGATAAAAATAATGTTAATCCAGAATTGACTTCAATTGTTCCGATACCATTTGTGATTCGCTGTTATTTTTAGAATATTTTTATGACATGTAACATGATAATAGTAGGGAATTTTTAGCGCATTTAACATGTTCGAGATTGCAACTGCTCTACGTGCAACTTGTTGATACGGTTAAGGCCTTGTTTTCTTCACTTTCAGTACTTCATTCTCCTATAGGTGAACATCAACATCTTTCAACAGCTCTGTTTCTGAAAAGCTTGTCTTTGGTTTAAAAGCGAACATTACATGAATTTAGCTAAAATTCTGAAATGCTCCACCTATTTTCCTTCACATATACAACAGTACCTCGTTCTCCTATTGGACGACATCCACATGTCTCAACGGTTTTGTTGCTCAAGCACTGGTCAAAACAGATGTCTTTAGAATATTTCTGATATCCAGGAAGGTATCTCTCTGAACAGTTAGAAACGAAAGGTTCAGGCAACCGTCGTACCTGCAATGGAAGTGATAGTGTTAAAAAGAACTAGTCAAACTCATGAAACAACAAATCTGKTCAATGATGCATGACCGAAAATTAACCAGACGTCGCTGGGCGATAAAACACTGTTGGGTCATGAAACTAGATCTTGAGCGACAAAACCCTTTTAATTCACATCCAATATCTTCTGCAGTTCTAAATGTAATTCACACGAGACGTAACACTCAACTCAAATATAAAATTKAGTAATAAAATAAAAGCGAATGTTTAGATAGTACTTACTTTATTGRCGCTTAAAAAAACCATGCCATGAGAACCGGGGGAAATAAGGATACCTTGGTTTCTCTTAACGCCCGTTCCTCTCTCTCCAACAATTATCCGGAGACCAAACGACCATTCTCCGAATAAGTATTCACCCAATTTGGCATTGAGTAAAATGCT